AAAACACATCCTAGTCATTTAGCTTCGCAATTCTTAAGCATTTCCTTTGTTTTTAAATAATTCAACAAGATTACCACTGCCATGTTTCAATTCAATGAAGTTTTGACCTACTTGTTTATCTTCTTTGAGTTTCACCATTTCAGCCCATTTTCATCGGCTCTTCAGATTTGTTTCTGAAATCCGTTTTCAGTGACGACGGTCTCAAAAGTTAATTCTAAATTGTCTCGTGCTCTGATAAAGTATACGCATTTCCAGTAACCAGTCCGGTTTTTATTGGGATAAGACAATTAAATCATGGAAGTAGGTCGTCTCACCATTCTGCAATTTGACAGCTTACGCGACACATGGGCACTCATGCCGCTTGACATTTCATGACCTATGAAGTAACCACTGTAAACGGGTTTACTATTTCACCGGAAGAATGCCTGTTTTTCAGCCTAAGCGCAAATTTTCGTTTGCTCAGAAGTCTCAGAAGCGACTGAGAAGACGTTAAATGCAAGTCAGATATATTTTGGGTTCTTGTTTTTGAAAGTATTTTAACGCATTGTTGAATTAAAAAAACTTAGCGTTTCGCATTTCTCTCCCGCTTCCCGCCCTTTCCTCTCCCGCCTCCCGTACCCCCTTCCGTCCTCTATTCTCCCGGGTTCCCGCCCGAACTCTCCAGTTATAACATGAGGGGTGACAGGCCTACACAACTCCTATCCCCATGCGATAACCGCTTTTAAAGCTTTGCTCGAACGAGTATATCTTTTAAGGATCTGCACATTCTATGATAGGCGATCTTTGAATATTTCGCTAAGCAATGGTTGATTTTGGATTGAATGCCCTACAAGGACGGACTCCTACGCTTCGAGACACTTGTGTATCTTTATTGCTTCACACTCGTTTCTGAGAGGCCGGCACTTCATAGTGTTTTTTTTTCTGTTTTTTTGTTTGTTTGTTTGCTTTTTTTTAACAGCACATTTATTTAATCATGGCATACTTTATAGTGTTATTACGAGGACATTTTGCCAAAGTAGGGCCGTTAGATCGAGGTCGCATAGGTCTGTGTGGTTTCCGCTGTTATCTGGGGTTAATTTGTAGAGTTTGACACCTCTGTATTTTGCCATCTGCTAGTTTTTTCGGCTCATTCATATTGCAAGATATGTTCTAAGCTCTCTTAATATTAGTTCTAGATATAGTTAGAAGAGGACACTACCAGGCTACTAACTATGCTCTGGAGAGACAAAGTTTGAAATATTCCGTGAGCATGTTTGCTACTTGCATTTTGTGTTGTTACGCCGGGACCGCTTGTTTGATTAACTGTTGCAAGTTATACAGCTTCTTATCACCAGTGTCATATTTATTATGGCAGTTCCAGGCCACCATAGTTATGTAAGAATTGATACCTCTTTATGGGAGAAAAAATTTTCAAGCCACGCCCACAAAAAGGATCTTGGTACTTCTTAGGTTTTTTTTCCAAATTTATGACTAGAACCCCCGTCCTTTTTTGTATGGAGGTCTCCCCGGTTTTTTTTGTTTTTGTTTACACAATCGACGAAATTCCAGCCATTTTTTTTTTCACTTGGAGCCCTGCATGCCGCGCCAGCCCAAAACATGAGACTTGACTAAATAGGGGGTGTAGTGGGGAGGAGAAATATATACGAGAAACCACAAACTGCAAGGGACCGCATACGATAAACGCTGCCAACGTAGGATCTACAAGAGATCTTATCAGCCAAAAAAATGTATTAAGACAAACAATAGACTGCAAGGCTGATACTACGTGAAAAACGTTTCGAGACACCAACATGACAAGAACCGATAAAGTAGGATCGCAACAGTGGACAGCTGTATATAGGCTCTATTCTTCATTTGGCTCGCTTCGCGCTTGCTTTGCTAATAATATAATAATAATAATAATAATAATAATAATAATAATGGCATTTCGGGCAGTATATCCACAGGGTGGC